GCTTCGAGTTATTGTGTCCAATCATTTTGTCATTTTATGAATGACAATCGATGACTGCATTTAAAGAAAATAGTAAAGCGATTACAAGTATGATATTTTCATACACCAATACAAAAACACTGTATAGTGTTGAAATCTGTTCTCGTTCATGGCATTTCTCCAGATAATATTTTGTGAATGTCATCACCTGTGATTATGAAAACGTAGATGGTTATTTCATCATTGGAGCATTGTTATCAATATATGTATCAGTGAAATAATAGACATATACAGATAAAGGGTTAAGAATTTCGTAGTTTCTCAACATTCATACGTAGAAAATGAACAGTATGTAATCTGTATTTTGATCTGCCAATTATTGACAGATGGTCAATAATGCTTCTTAGTTCTAAATTCTAGAGAAGGATATATTTGACAGTATAATAATCGATGGACTATGTGTAATTGCAATTGTTTATTTTTTCAGAACTTACAATGAACGTTGCGCCGCACCAACAAACCATGAATGCAACTTGTAGGCCAGTCTATAATAATGGAAATAAAACAATTCAACTCAGTTCATCATATGTCTTTACAATTGCTAAAAACTTTTTATCAGTCGAGCAAATCATTGGTAAATAACTAGTAATCATTACACATTTCTAGTTTTTGTAAATCTCTGACTAGACGAACTCACGGTTTTTAGAATCAGCCACAAAACCACGAGAATAAAACCAGTGAAAACGAATCCACCACACATTGCAAATAAGAGTATCTTCCATTTCCTTTCTGAACCACCAAGATATTCACCCAAGAAAATGGCTACGATGAGAAGTAAGGTAGCCGTAGATATAGAAATAAATTGTTCGTACCATTGTGCGGTAAATATTAGAAATGCTGCACCGACATTTATAATGATCAATTGCATAAGGAAAAAGTAGTGTAAAATTACTATATGTTCAGAAGTTGAATGGTCCAACAACTGAAAAAATAATGAAAGACTAAACATCACTGAATTGCTTTCTATTGAAATGCATGAAAATGAATATCCATGGATACAAGCACATAACAAGGAATGCTTATCCAAGTGTGTCATAGTGACAAACGCGAAATGATTTCAAACAGAATTCCCTCATCTTCAAAATATGACCTAAATATGTGAGGTTTATCACCTAAACAAAGTCAAATATACTACTTGGGTAAAGAAACTTCTTCAACAGCTAGTATTATCTGCAACTCGAGGCATTGAATGGTGAGTTGCGTATCATAGAACACACGTTCAGTGATAGACAAAGTGTGTGGATGATAGAACAAATTGAAATGACAGAAATTTGATTTGTTAATTTGTTCTCTGTTTACAAGCAGTTCCACGTCTTAAAAATGCTCATAACATCGAATATAGATTAAGGTAAAATTTACCAGTGTGATGCGCGTACACGTCTATATATTTCTGAATTATCCATGACATTGACTGATGCCATTTAATGTTATATGATTTTGCTCACATAACGAGGAACACTTATGGCTCACGATACAACGGAATTATTGGTGATCTGGGTTCTATACATTGACAGTTTTATAAAATATTTGAAACTATAGAAACTGGATCACTAAACTTATTGTTATCCCCAAATACAACATCGAATTTCATGTGTTAAATTCAACATTCAAGGTTTCTTTAATGTTGATATCCTTTATCAGACAAACATAACAGCATTTTTATTATTCAACAAACAAAACTACAAACTAAACGTAATCGATGAGCAAATGAAAATTTAAAGAATATTATATAAAACAGTGTTCAACTGACGGTTATCACGATGAATGTATTGTTGAATATTATTATTCCAAGAACTAATCCGATCAATCTGAAATACAACAGAAAACAATGTACATTGTCATAATCTCACAGATACAATAAACCATAGTGATGTTTGTCTAATATTCGACATAATCTGAATGCATGAAATGGTTGAACAAATTCTTCATTGTCTCAGTTTGACATTTTTGAAAGTTTGTCAAACTTGTCGAAATAATCGATGAGTGGGTTACCTGATGGGTGTTAGTCCTGTTTATGTCATTTCATGATTATCATTTGTTATATTGTGATGTAACACGAAATGAGAATAGTTTGTACTGGGAAGTCATAATATTCTTGAGAAACATGGATAAGTTGTCTTATTTCAGTGTACAATATATTTCATTGAATAGTGATACACTGAAATTGAGGTTTAGAATTTTGTGCAATGCCGGTATTTAAATCATATATTACTGACGTCATTAGTAGATCACTGAGAGCAATTGGATCTAGAAGACAAACAATGCTTTCAAATGTCTTACATGCAGTAATGCCAAACTGTTTCATTTGCATAATTACAATCGTTATCCGACTTCATTAAAGTAACTCCATTGAAGATTTGTGAACGATTCGCCTTTGAAATTTCAGCTTTCACAATCAACAATATAAATTTATTCTGAAATAATTAAAAATTCACGAGGTGTAGATATTTAATTTCATGAATTACATAAGACCTTAAATGTTCATTAACATGGCTATTTTGTTCCTCATTCATTACTTTCACACAAAATTGGATTCATAGATAGCAACAGAATTTCATCTGGATAGTTCTCATTATCATCTTTACAAGAATAATAATAAAGCTCGAAATTCGATGAAAATTGATCTCATTAGATTCACATTAGATGATTTCCGCATATGACGCTTTTTAGTGATCAACGTTGACGTAATCACTTCAGTAATTACAATTAACCGTTAAAAAATTTAATCATTAACATAAACGATACTCAACGAAAGTATGATTTTCTCTCCCTTATTCTCTCCTATGATTTTTCGAAAACATCTTGTCGGATTTTAAGGTGTGCTGAAGGCAGTCAGTAGGGTGTATATTTATTCTTTTGAGATTATTACAATTTTGTAATAATTTGGAAGACTTTGAAAATCTTGCAAACTGCCGAACATTGATTTCTTTTGAAATGTGTGCAATCCAATTCTTCATTATCTTTCGCCTTCAATAAGAATATCTCTTCTGTTTGTAAAACAAATTCGTTGGAATCATCCGTGCTGAGTGTTTTGTATTGAAGTTAGCCTATAACATTAAACTCAACTGTGTTTATTGCTACTCGTAATACAAATCTTCATGGTTTCTTCGTCCGTGTGTTCTGGTTTATTCGCTTCAGCATTAGGTTGTTGCGAATAGTTTGTCGCCAACGAATCTGAAGTATTTTGCTCAGACAACCGTTATTAAAGCTTCTATCCTCTGATTGATTGCTCTCGTAATTCTACAAGTTTCCGCTCCATAGAAATGTATAACTGTCTTCGTATTTGTATTGAAAATTCTGACTGCGTTGTTCGTTGACAGTTGTTTTGAGTTCCAGATTATCTTCACTTGTAAATATGATGTTCTTGCTTTTTCTGATACGCGCTTTCACATCTACTTCAAATCCACCGTGTTAATCAATTATGCTGACCAGATAATTCAATAAAAATGTTTCATCACAATGAACGATGATCGAAAATGGCAGTAGTAAAGTTTTAATAACAGTTCAAAAAAGTATGAAAATAATTCCAACAAATGTCTGTGAGTAAAATTTGTAATATCTTCACATAATAATATAGCATTTTAAACTTATTGCTATTTGTTACTAGCAGGTTGAAGATGACAAATTCAGGTTCACTTTTCTTCAGTGAATTTCGTTGTAGAGTTCATTATTTATTTCTTGTAATATTTGGACACATAAATATTATTGCGCAAGAGCGACAAATTTATATGCGCAACACAGGTCACATGATTTTTATGTGGGCTGTGATACTGTAGAAGTATGACCTACTATAATATCAGTGCTGCTCTAGTAATAGACCTAATCCTAAATTTTAAGATTTGTCATGATATAACTGCCTAATATATAAGATCTTACGTGGAAGTGACACCATTGACTACGCCAACTCACTGTATCGTATCAATTACCAATACATGATGTAGAACAAGGTTAGGCTAGAGAAGGAACGATATATTTATTATGAATAGAGGATATAAGATAACATGCAGCAGAAACCACGCCTGCATGGCCGAGCCATGCCATTCGATCAACTCTGATTCCTTCAATTCATTATTCGCGCCTTCTTCATCGTTTGAAATTTCTTCGCGTTAAATATTAAATACCTATTTTCCGAGTAATCTCGTAATCAGCTATGAGGATATTGTGGTTATTGTCCAATGCCACTACAATACTACCCTGGTCCTCAAAATATAGCAGGTGAATTTCTCAAAAGGTCACACCCTGATTCTTCGACTTAAAGGTCTGATTCACAAGTCGATGAGGCTACGTATTGTTCATTGAAAGCAATTAGATAAAGATGGACAGAATATTTTATCAAAATATCTGGGTGATAACGCCAATAAATAATTAAAAAGGAAGTTGGCAATTAACGGTATCAAAAGGACAGTTTGTTTAGGATTCATTACATTTCACTGGCAACGTCTCCAATTATCAGGTTGTTAGACGAGGGATTAAAAGCATCACTCTTCTTGAGTTCACAGTTGAAGCTTTCCCACGACGGCGTAGTCACATGAAACCTAGGAACAGCTTTCCCCAACGAATAACTTGAACAATCACATTACACAATACGTATATGCAGATGGTGTAGAAAATGTGTCTATTACGACAACATTAATTGTTCATTCTGTTTAAAAAAACGTTTCACAATTATTATTGTTTTGATGGTGTATCGCCTGACGTCATTAATCTGTAGAGAATTCATCCAACCATTGAGCACACCAAAGCGACAAGAACATTCTCATTCGGAGATATCACTCACTCGCTCACAATGAACTAGCAGTCAAATCAGTGTGCTTAATTTCTAACGAAACACTTGTTCCATTGTTCTGTACAAAGATTACATAACCAAAGTTCAATGAAATAAATACACACTTATTAGTTAACCAAGTTGATCAAAAGTTATTGATGAATTCCTTTATAAGTTTTTTGTATTTCAATGAGTCAGTTTTACTGAACATCATTCCATGTGAGTTTGTTAATTTCTATCTAATGATATGAATTAAGCCTGAGTTTAGTTTGTTGATAAGTTGTATTATGAGTAGCAATAACAACGGTTGAGCTCAATGTTAAAGGCGGACCACAATATAGAACACCCAACACAAATGATTCCAACTACTTTCATTTACAAACACGAGAGAAATTTACATTGAAGGCGAAACATGTGGATGAAATAGAATGTAAATATTCGAAAAAAATCAATCATCGGAAACTTGCAAGATTTTCAAAAACTTTCAATATTCGTGTTTGTAATATTGACAAAAAATTTACTACAAACTCATTTCACTGCATTCAGCACACTTTAGAATACGACAAAATGTTTTCTGAAAACCACATAATTCAATTGAGTATCATTTATCGGAATGGTAAGGTTGGTCAATGTTATTATATTCAATAAAGTGAACACGTTACCAATGATCATTTTAAGCCATCGTATTAAGTAAATAGCTAACGTGAATCTAATAAGATCAATTTTCATCGGCTGTCGATCTTTGTTAATAATTGCCTAAAGATCATAAAGCAAACATGTCGAATGAAACTCTAGTTCTTTCCATGAATCCAAAATGTTAAAAACATTGATACAGGAAAAAAAATAGACAATTGAATGAATAATAAACGTTCTATATTATCCACGAAATTGATCATGTTTATTACTGTATTGTGAATTCTTACATATTAAAGTCAAAGTTTGAATTGATAATTATGAAAGCTTAATATTTTAAGGTAAACTGTTCAAAACTCTTCGTTGAAGTTACTTAGAAAATGTTGATATTCGCATTTGACGAGGTGTCAACAGAAAGCAGTCAGATAAATTCTACTTGCATGTAAAACATTTATCATTCCATTTGACAGATTCAGCTTTTTTCGTAGAATAAAACCAGTTGCTCTCAATGGTCTCATATTATCGTAAGTAGTTTATGTTTTAAATACAAATACTGCAAAATAATCACATCGACAATTTTAGTTTATCACCATTCAATTACCTGAATTGTACATCGAAATTAGACACTTGATCCATGTTCAACAGGAATATCATGATTAAGAAAAAGGAAAATTGTTGATTCCATCCCAGGACAAAATATTCTCATTTTTGTGTTATATCACATCATAACAAATGATCGTAATGAAATGCATGAAATGAGATTACCAGGACAATCACTCATTTGGTAATTCACTAATCGATTATTTCGACAAGTTAGACAGACTTTGGTAAATTTTGAAATGAAACAATGAGGATTTTGTTCAACTACTTCATGCATACAGATTATGTACAACATTAGATGCACATTACTATTGTTTACTGTATCTGTGAGATTATGATAATGTACGACTTTATCCGAGATATTCTCACGCATTTTTACTTAGTAGGCCACTTGCTTAATATATGTCTTATCAACGCTCGGTCGATCTGCAACAAAAAGACGGATTTAGCCATGTTTGTATCCATATATCAACCATCAGTTATTATGATATCTGAAGCATGAACTAACAGTAATATTTCCGACCAAAGTATATCTTTTGATAACTATTTCCTATGTAGAAGTGACAGATTGAATAGACGAGGCGGAGGATGCCTTATTTACGCTCACTCTAGCCTAAACTCACTACTATGTGATATGCCTGAACTAAACAAACTGAAGGATTCGGTGTGGATTGTATTAAAGCTGTCGAATTCCGTTACCTTACTGCTCGTCTGTGTTTATCGTTAACCTCACGCATCAATATATGATATAGCAGTATTATCGAAGGTATACACACTAGCATCATCCCTCTCATCCACAGGCAAGCTCATTTGTGGTGACTTCAATATGCCCGAAATTTCTTGGCTGCCAGTCAAAGCGACGAGACGTTATGAATCATTTACTGGATGTCCACAGCTTGGACAATGGACTCAGTATGTCGATAGCTCTACCAGACATCAACATATCTTGTACTTAGTCTTTACCAGTGGCCTCATCCCCAATACTTTGTATATTGGAAAAAAGTTTCAAGGTAGTGATCATAACATTGTCATATGCAGCCTTAATGTAAAAACCACAATCGATAGAAATAAAACCATAACACTTCGTAGAAACTATCGCAAGCTTGATTGGAATAACTTCCACAATTACCTAAGAAGCACTGATTGAAGAACTTTCTTTACTTCAAACAATACCGACACATTAACCAATATATTTTATCACAACATCAAAAGTATCATCAAAAACATCGCACCTTGAAAATACTGTAAACCTACGTTCTCCAAAGATCTCGATATACCGGTCAGCACTAGAAGACGACTTCAAAGACAATGTACTTGATTCCACAAATTAAATGAATTTTTCTCTTTAGTAAGGATGACAGAAATACTTGTCCAAACAGGAACAATAAGTAAAAAAAAGCAATCAATCAAGATAAACGTGCAGCTGAACTAAATAATAACTCCTCTGCACACACCATACTACTCCAAAATAAACTTAAACTCTCTTAACCGAGAGAGAGTATATTCATTAAAGGCAAACAAGTATACGAAGATCCTAAACTTGTCACAGAATTATTAAATGAACATTTTTGTTTCTCACTAACTAACGAAAAACCAATTGGTGATTCAGAACCAGTCCCAGTAACTCCCTGTGAAATTACTAATGTAGAATTCAATGTACAAAATACCTACAAGGCAACCAGTACACTGAATCCCTCCTACACTGATGGACCAGATGGTATTCCATCCAGCATGCTAAAACGTGGAGTTAATGATAGGTGTGTTTTGCTTCTCAAACTATTCGCCATATCACTCTGTTCAGCGTGTTTCGCTACTGCCTGGAAAAATACACATATCATTCATAAAATTAAAACAGGATCTGAAGCAAACGTTAAAAATTACCGGCCTATAAACGTAACTTCAGTGGTATCTAGAGTGATGTGAAATGTAGTTAATGCGGCTGAAGTCCAACATCGTCTAACTAATAATCTCATCTCGACATCCCAGCATGGATTTCTTAGGTCCAGATCATGCGATACATGCCTAATAGATTACCTGAATCATAAAACTCTGAAACGAGACAGCGGACTCCTTGTATAAGTCCTATTCTTAGACTTTAAGAAAGCTTTGATAAGGTCTCAAACAAAAGGCTACTCGTCAAACTAAAGTCCTTCTGAATAAACAAACCACTGTACTCATGCTTTGCTTTGTTCTTAACAGAACGTAAACAGATGGTAAAGTACAACGACTAGCTCTCGTCACTTAAAATAATCACCAGTGGAGTCATCCAGGCAAGCGTATTAGGTACACTTTTGTATCCTGTGTATATTAACGATATATGTTACACCATATAATTTGTGAAACCATACTTATATGCTGATGATATCAAAATAGTATACAGCTATAAGCCTGAGACCCTAAGTGAAAGTGTATCCTGAATCGAAAAGGACCTCAATAATATAATTATGTGGAGTGAAAAATGGCAATTACTAATCAACCTCAACAAGTGCGGGATCATGCACTTTGGAAAGCATCCCTATAAACCGCAACTTCACTTAAATGAAAGTAGAGTCCAAACACTCGAATCAGTACGCGATTTAGGAATTAATTACACAGGAAGCCTGAACTTTGAAAAACATGCCTCATTTATTATTTCTATATCTAGACGGCTAATTGGCTTTATAATGAAAAACTTTTTCACAACAGAGGGTAAACTTTCTCTCTACAAAATATGTGTACGACCCTCCCTTGAATACTGCTCTTCTGTATTCTCTAATATGAATATCACAGACAAGACAAGAGTAGAAGTTGTTTAAAGACGTTTCACACGTCAACTACTAGGATGCAACTCGAATCTCGATTACACAGACAGATGTAAGCATATATCTTTAGAACCTTTATGAAAACGAAGGCTAAAAAACAATTTAATATTTCTCTACAAAGCGATATATGGTCTCTCCTTTCTAATCTCCTGCCCGACTATTACCCACGACCCAGCCTATAGACTTAGAAACAACGCATATACACTACTTACCGTAAAACACCAAAAACAAATGCGTTGTAAGTTCTTTACTGTACGGTACAGTTTATTGTGGAACAGGCTGCCAATGCCTATCCGTAATTGTGATACCTTTATCAGATTCAAAAGGCTAATAACCCTATTTCTAGACTCCAAAGAGCTTCAACATTTCCTTGAACTCCCGCCCACCAATGAGGCACTTTATTACGGACCGCCTAGTATCTAGAAAGAACAAAATTATAACAAGTCCGACTGTTACTAATATGAATATAACCGAATCACAAAACATATGGCTTATCCTTTCTCATTATTCATTGTTTATTAATCATGACTTCATGCTCCTAACCCTAGCTTTCAGTTCCCAAATCTCTTCAGGTTTAATGTATATTATTCTTCCTAAAAGTCATGCCTTTTTTTTATTCCACTGCAAGAAGACAGATAGCTCAATCTTATGAATGTTGATCTACTAAGGCCGACCATTCAAAGTTCAAAATTTGGCCACCACGTCTTGTGAGTTTCTCAATGTTTTATTTGTCTTACCCTGAAATTTTTTTTCTCTACGATTTTATATCCTCACATATCTTTTGATTTGCTATTAGTCCTTACATCTTTAAACCATTAGTTATTTTCATAGCAGTGTGATAAACTATGTGGACATCTAACCCATAAAACAATTTTTTTTTTAACTATCTGATTTGCTTGTAACATGGACCTAGTAGAGACAGTGTATTCCAACTATGGGCTTTGATTAAAGCAGTATTCATACTTACCACAAACGTAAGAGAGCCTAACATCACAAAAGGAGGGAGGGTGACGTTACTGACCAGCAAACATGTAGGTGGAGAGATAACTTAAATCCACCCATGTCTGTAGGGCAGAACATTTTGTTCAATTACGGCTCCTTATGGTTTAGTGGGATGCCACGCACTTATGGTATTGAAGCTGATTAATTCACGCAAAATACCTCTTTAAGTCGTGTTACGAACGATGAATTGGTTTCACTTCCTACCCAGAAATCCTATTACAAGCAAACTAGACAATTTGCTAATATACGAAACCTACTCAAGACCCTATAATAACTGCGGGGAAAATATTTTAAAAATCGAAAGGGGCTCTAATAGCTTCGATTTTAAAGGGAAGACAGCAAAATGTATATCACAATACTGTTTCTAGCACTATATTTTATTTTATAATTACACATAATCTTATACTTTCAGCTTTTTTCCGAATCACATCCATTTGTCAGTTGTATGTCCACTCAAACCTTGTCAACACTTATTGTCTTTAACCTATTAAAATTCTCTATCTTAACATATCTTAACATACCTTAAAGATTCCTCCATAAATATTGGCTACTCTGCCTCTCGTGTTTTCTTTTACTTGCTCCCTCTTTCAGCCCTTTTGAGATATGGAACTGGTGACTTCACCCTGCACCATCCTTAAAGCCTTGGATATCCTAGAGGAAATAAGGTTGCGATTTCTAAAAGCTCATACCTTTAATGGACCTATCCTTGACCATCAGTCGCACATTGGCAACGCAACCTTCATGAGGCGCGCCAACTGTGGTACTGATTCAAACCATCTACATTCATATCTTATAAATTATCAATCCAGCTATGTAATTTATTACAGTATATATTGTATCATTTGTATCAATTTGATCTTGCCTGTAAACTGGCATGCCTCATGTAACAAACTGTTATTTGACAATAAATTATTATTATTATTACATCGTCTTCTTTTGTATTTCAGACTGATCGGTTTAATCACTGGATTTATGATAATAATCTATAGAAAAGTACATACCAAATTCACATAGAACAATAACTTCGTCGTGATAACTGTCAGTTGAATATTGTTTAAGAAGATATTCATGATATTTTCACTTATACATCGGATAAATTTAGTTGGTAGTTTTGTTCTTTGAATAATAAAAATCTTGTTATGTTTGTCTGATAATGGATATCAACATTTAAGAAAACTTGTATGTTGAACAGATGATTTTCGTTGTTGTAATTTAAGACATCAATAAGTTTAGACATCCAGTTTCTATAGTTTAACTGGTTTCATAAACATGTCAACGTATATAAATCAGATCACCAATGATTCTGTTGTATCGTGAAATGTAAAGATTCTTCGTTGCGTGGTCAAAGTAATATAATACTAAACGATATCAGTTAATGTCATGGATAATTCTGAAATATATAGACGTCAATAAAAATAATATTTTACCCTCAAATTTGTTAGTTCTCAGAAACACTTGCAAGATGTGGAATTCTTTATAAACATGGAACAACTAAACAAATAGGATTTCTGTCATTTTAGTTTGTATAATCATTCACACACTTTGTCTATCACTGAACTTGTGTTTAATGATAAAGCAGTTCGATTTGAAGCAACCACTAGCTGTTGTATTTTTTGGTTTACACAAGTTATTAAAAATCACAGCATTTAGGTGATAAACGTCACATTGTTCGGTTATGTGTTTTGGACGAGGGAATTTTGTTTGAATTCATTTCGCCTTTGTCATTACGACAAACTTGAATAAGGATCTTTCTTCTGATGTGCTTGGTTCAATAAATATCCATTTTTAGGCATTTCAGTCGAAGATAGGACAGTGAAGATTAGTATTTCATTATTTCTGCAGTTTATGACCGATTCAACTTCTGAATTTATGGTAATTTTACGCTACGTTTTCTTTGTTCAGTTGATCATTATAGATGTCGGTGTTGCATTACTTATGTCCATGGCAAAATATTAATAAATATTTAGTTCTATATTTACAGCTACTTTGCCCCCAATCATAGCCATTTTCTTGGCTGTAAAGCTAGATGATTCAGAAAACAAATAGCTGTTTCTCTTGTATGCGATGTGTGGTGGATTTATGTTAATTGGATTCATTCTAATAGTTTTGTGACTGAATCCTAAAAACCTTAAGTTTCTTCAATCAAAGATTTTCACAAGCTGGTGGTGATTGATGATCCCTAATTATTTACCAATGATTCGCTCGAACAGTAACAGTGTTTGTAATAATTTTATATGTATATGAAGAACTAAAATCGGTTGTTTTCTTTCCTTTGTTCAAGGACGTTTCAGTATATGCATTCTTAGTTTGTTGGTGCGGCACAATTTTCATTTTAAGTCCTGACTAAATAAGCGAATTCAAGTACCAATAACCGTTTATTGATTATGATGCATTCCAAGATATCTTTCTGTAGAAATTATAACTTTGAACCATTAGTGTTTTCTATCCACAACATTCACAAGTGTACTCACGAAATATTTCGAATGAAACATTGCGAGATGCAAACCTCAATGGCTGAATATGATAAACTGAATGATGAAGTATATATAATTCAAATCCTCTCCTTAACTAAATCGCTCAATTTATATGACGTTCTGTTATATCTGTGAATATTTGGCAGATCAAAATACAAGAGAATTATTGTTCATTTAATATGTCTAATACTTGCAATCTTGGTTTGTTGGTGCGGCAAAACGTTCATTGTAAGTTTTGAATAAATAAACAACTGCAATTACATGTAGTCCATCGATTATTATGCTGTCAAATATATCCTTCTCTAGAATTTAGAATTAAGAAGCATTATAGTTTTCCATCCACTGCATCCAACACAATTCATCATGAAATATATTGAAGAAAATATTGCGACATGAAAAGCTGAACGATATAAAGGGAGACATTGAATGGTGAAGTTTTTATCCTTTTTATCTTTTCTTTAGTTGAATGGTTCCATTTATATGATAGTCTGTTATACAAGCGAGCATTTGTCATTAATTGACAGATCGAAATAAAAAAACACTCACTGTTCATTAATTATGTATGAATGTTGAGAAATCACTATGTTCGTAACCCTTTATCTCCAAACGCCTATTACTGAATTGATACATTTATTGATAACAACGCATCGAAGATGAAGTAATCATCTAAGTTTTCATAATTACAGCTGATGATATTCACAAAATTTTATCTCGAGAAATGCGATGAACGAGAACAGGTTTCAACGCTCTACAGTGTTTTGTATTGGTGTATGTAAATAACATACTTCTAGTCGTTTTACAGTTTTCTTTTAATAAAATCATCGATTCATTCATCAAATGACAAAACGATTGAACACGAAAAGTAGGAGCTTTTCTATTGACCATTTTAATTAGTTTACAGATATCCATATGTGTTCATGATGAATAGTTTGAAGAGAATTCTAAACTGCATTATCATTTTAATAGATGTTCTGTTAAATAAACGTTTACTTGTTGAATAACAATTCTGGATTGCAAATATTTGTTTAAAATAAAAACAGACATTTAAGCACGTTTCAATTATACTTGAAATTACAATCAACCATATGGACGGTATTGATTTGTTCAACAACCTTACTTCTCAGGTACACACGTGTCAAGACTTTGAAATATGAAATAATAATTAAGTGATTTTTATGCTAGTCTCATACTGTTTGAGATCAATAGATTCCATTGATTATCTAGCTAAAATCAGACATCTTGCTTCAACATATAAGTAGGCAAATAAACTTTCTTATCTTATTAGTTGCATTAAGTGTCTCTCGAACATCACATTCATCGTCATTGTCGATTTTCCTTCTTTTTTATTCTGAACTGTCCAAATGTTGCTTACGTTTAATAATGTGAACCGAATTCAGTAATTTCAGTGACTGCGAATCGAAATGATCGCGAGCTATCCGAAAATCAACACACGTTTCTCAATTAAATTGAGACCATACTCATTCATATTTGCACCTATCTTGAAAGCAAACTTTAAAAAGAAGAACAAAAAAAGGTGATTACACCGGAGGTGACCACGTAAAACTCTTAACATTATTAGTCAACTAATTGAACTCTCAATGGTGAAAGCTATGTTGCTAGCTTTATAAATGCAATGAGTTTCAACTAAATTCTCAATATACGTGAGGATTACTATATGTGATCACTAACACGCAACTATACTAGTAATGTTTAATAAATTGCTATGAATGGGTGGTGTGTGTGATGACTGTAGTTACACATCAACTATATACGATATAAGGTGTTATGCTTTTATGTTAGACTGATTATATCAACTGATATGATCGCCCGTTACAGACACTGAGTTATATGATAAGAACAATGACTCATAAACCCATACGAGTAGCTCACAATCCTTTTTTGTCTATCTGGATTATCGTTTCTTTCTTAATTCATCCGGTTACGTTCATGTCATGGATTGAGACTACAGTGTTGTATGCTAACGAAAAATGATCTTACAATATTTACAGTATTTCAACTGAGGTTCAGCTATAATCAATTAGCCATACGAATCGAGAAAAATGGGTTCATTGTTTTTTGTTATATGCCAAAAGTATAAAGGAATCATTCATATTTATGATATAGAAGCTCAACAGATAATGTTGATTGTCCGTTTGATCTTTTTTTCGGAGAACAAAACTCACTCAAAGTCATTCATCGCTGCATTAAACCTTCTCCGCAATCTCAAAACTAACAAATATCTAATATTTTCCAATGGCTGTACAGTAATTTTAAGACTGCTTCCCAGTGCTTTTGGACTAACAGTTTTATATGAAAACGTTGTATTTGGAAAGCTGATCTTTATGTAGTTAATACAGTTTTTCACTAAGCTATATCATTCTACCTATCTATCAATAAAAAATCAGAAATAGAATAAGACGTTCAATATTAAAAGATACACGTGAAGATCCTCTAGACTTACTGCGGGTCTCATGCCTCGAAAAAAGAGAGGAGTCCATTATCAGGTAAGCTAAAAAACGCAAACAAGAAGAAATAATTCATGCCATTAAAACTCTGCCGTGTAATTTGAGAGGTATTCATTTAGAAGAACTAGGACACTTCTTGATGAAAGCCGAGTTCCTTCTAAAGCCACGAGGCCTGCGGAAGTAACTCACCATTCCGATGACAGATCTAAACTCCAAATTCGGATCGGCCAACACTGCATATGAAGATATCATGGGACTATGTGAACCGGAAAAAACAAACAAAATCGAAAAAAATATATGTAATCCTATAAGTATTCAACAAATTTATCATAGACACTACAATATTTTCACGCCAACGTACACACAAAAGTACATGGATCTCACCAAACTTTATCACAAAGGATAAATTAGATCGTTTTTGCATCAATATAAATTTCCGAATCACAATGAAAGAAGTGAAAACCAAGTGTGGAGCTGACGAAGGCTTCAGATCATCACCTGTTGGTAGTCTAACATAACTTTCATTCTCAATACTAACAAACTCAACAAATTCATCATAACTGTCAACAACAGGTTTAAGCCGTACGGGATCTAATTAAGCAAGATAAATACACTATGGAGGACAACTGGAAAGATATCAAAGAAGCATTAACTCCAACTTGTCAGAAGGTTCTGTGTTGTAAGAAACATCATCATAAGAAACAGGTCAACAGAGAAACAGTGAACAATATCAAGGAAAGAAAGAACATGAAGACAGAAATGAACAACGGACTATCACGTTAGAGGAAAATCAAAGCACAAGCTGAGTATATAGAAGCAAACAAGCAAGTGAAGAAAAGCATTCAAACCGACAAGCAGAAATGAGTAGTGGAAATAGCAACGAAGGCGGAAAAGCTGCAAGAGAAGGGAATATGAATTAGCTTTACGATACAACGAAGAAACAAGCAGAGCAATATAGTAAACCAGAGAGATTGATTAAGGAC